TACCCTGTATGTAAGTGAAAGTATAATAAATATAATAAAGCGTGATAGCCATTTGCTTTTTTCAAAAAAAAAAAAAATAAAGTATATGAATTTATAAAATTTCTATGCCTTTTAATTGATTTTATAAATTGATTTGAATGATAATATAAAATTAAAAATTAGATTATTAATTCAAATTTATCACAACATTTCTAATTCTCTATTATCATTAGATTTTTTTAATTTTTTTTTAATTGATTACAATATATACAGTAACAATAAACCCCATTGATTAATTTTTAAATTTTTATAATACCTTTTTTTCTTATATATTAAAATCATTAAAAATCATATAAAAACCAAATTCATATTTTTTACATATTTCTATATTGATTTATTTAAATTTGTTAAAGTATATATCAGTAATGTATAAAAATTTTATCGTTATATACACGAATCAACATTATATTTGCCAATAATATATCGAATGTTGGTTTATAAGTTAGTACATTATGTCACCGTACGATATATGAATGGCGGTTTTAAGTATTAATCATTTTAGCCAAAAAGGTATTCAATGAGATAGATGTACAAAGTGGCATGATTAAAAAAATATTATTATATTATAAGTATGTATGAGTGAACTTTTTATCTTTTCAATATAAATTTATGTTATTAAATAATAATAATTAAAAAAATAATTATCGCCATGATTATACAGTGGATTATGATAAATAAACTAAAACAAATCATTTTTAAAAAATAGTTTATATAAGATCTCATGTGCGATGCTTAGATTAATAAGTAAAGTTTAATTTGCCTTTAAAATGATTGTTCAAAATCAATTTTTGATAATCTTTTAGCGCACCCTATTATCACGAATTATTTGTTACCTTCGTTCAACAAACAACATATGTTAAATAATTAAAGATGGATAATAATAAAAAAATCCAAATAATAGAATTTGCTTATATTGATAGAACTTTGTTTATCACTAATGTTTTTGACGTTTATTAGATTTTTTTTCTATGATTCCAAATTCGTAAAAAAAAAAGAAAAATCATTCTGAATGCATAATCGAAGCTAATTTTGATCACAATACGAATATAACAAATAAAGGAACTATTTTGTTTACAATACCGATACAATAATTTCCGCTTGATTTTTATCCAAACGTTACGTAACACATTTAATTTTCATTCTTTTGTTGTCACACTAGATGATAAGTGTCAACTGTAATGTATTCTGAAGGTAATATATAGTATTATAAAAAAGTTATGATAAATATTATGTTTTTGGAGAATTAGAGGATATTCACAAGATATGGGTAATTATCTTTGAAGGCGACATAAATGCAGAATATGATTCTTCAACTCCTACCTTTAACAATACGTATATAATGCAAATTTTAGAATCACAATTATAGGATACAAAAAATTCCTGCCCGCCTTCGAAAATAATTATCCATATTGGGAGACTCAGGGTCGAAGGGCTTATAATTGATATTCCTATAAAGCATTATTTAAGTCAATTTAAGGACCAATATGTTGGAATGATCCTTTGAGAGAATCGAATGGAAGACAATCCTCAAAGACTTTGTACGTCCATGTGTACAATTTTACTAAAAAAAGTTTCGTGATTCTGAATTATTAAAGATATGATATTCTTCTTTTGCTTCACTTATTGTGCATGCAATTTCTAGAAAAGAAGTCTTCGTTTTGCGAATGACAGATGCTAAACAATGAGGACCAGGTTTTTTGGATCCGTTTGTGAATTCTTAAGAAGTACCCAAAAATTTGAAGAAGAATAATAACAGGTTACTTGAAACCTTTGATTGGTGCGCGAAAAAAAACCGAATAAGGTCAAATGCAAACGATAATACAAGTTGATGATGTTCTTACGGATTGTATGCGGGTAAAGTACCATATTGCGAATGCGCGTGTCTTGAAAATCATAGTTGTCTTAATGTCAAACACAATACGTGTTAATGGTTCCGACACAATCGGTGAGAATATGGGCAATTGAATTTTATAAAAAGAATATCCATGATACTATTTTCATTGGTCCGACATTATAAACCAAAAAAAAACAAGATATGTTTTTTTCTTCTTGAATGAATATGTGTAAATTAAAGGACGATAATACTAAAGACAATCCTATTCTCACGACGATGATAGTTATGATGATCGAATTTTATTTCAAAGTCAATTCGCCTCGATACATATTCCCTTTTTTTAAAGACCCTCTTAACGCTTAATCCCTCTTCGATTAACGCATACATTTTCTTTTGCCTACTTTATTATGTGTGCAAACATATATGCATTTTATGTTAATGTTCCTACAAACCTTTATTTACGAAAGGCTGAAATGGAAGTTTCAGTGTTCTTTAAGTCGTACTTTGCACGTGATTCCTTAATTCGCGTGTACACTTGAATTTCATATTGGGATTATAAGGATCAACAATAAGATAAGCACGATAATAATTGTTCCGGGTTTTACCAATCGCAGCCGAGTCTTTACCAAGAAACGGAGGAACAATAATTTTCGAAATTTGATTTTTCCTTAAAACCTGAACCGCAAATGTATGAGAGAATGCCTATACTAAAGTTAGGTTTGTTATGTTATTGTAGTCACATGATCACATAGCATTACAATATCAAGTAATGAGAACAATATCTCAGAATGCAGATCTATTAATATTATTATTTTTTTAATATTATTATTACGTACCCTTTTTCATGGTATTGTTGTTCTGATGTATTGCAGCGCAGTGCTACGCCCATTTGAGGTAATATTATTACCGTTGTCGGAGTTGTTGAACTATGTAAATGTCATCCCTTTGGATGCCTCTGGTAATTTTGTCATTTTTTTGGCGATCAATTTATGCACTCGACTGTGCAGCGAACCCGACTTTTCAAGAACCAAAAATTTCAATGTTAATGTTTACTTGTTAGGATTTTCACATTTAGTAATTTACGCAACTTTCATACACCTCAATATGCGCTATCTTATATTATTTCTATTTTTGATTGTTCTGTTTTATTTAACAATGTAAATTCGAGTATAGATGATCCTCGTACGAGTAGACATAATTATTACAATACACACATTAATTAAAGTGGTAAGTATAATTTGAATCAAACATCTAAAAAAAAAAATACATATAAACACCACATCCCTTCTCATTGTCATCTCTATCTTTTCTCGAAATTCAACTGTGTTGAATAACTTTATCTTTTGATTCACCCTCAAAGCGTACAAAGTAAATACATCAAACACCTTCTTCAAAGAAATTTGATTCAACGTTAAAAAATAATCACGATGATTGTACCAATTACACAACGTATGTATGAAACAGAGGTGTCCTTGTTCAAACTATCTTTCATCCATCTCTAACCTTTCGTTCTTACGTCAACAGATTTCGATATCCTATACATCGCATATATCTTCCGTCCACTAATACAAATTACAATGATAATGTTGGTCGCGGCATACCTCTCCTGGTATCTGAGTAAGTATTATCTAATACGTTGGTTTTTTCGAAAATTTCGAGTCATTTCCTTATTCCTCCTTAAATTTGAATAGAACTGGTGATAGAAATAATAACTGGTCGACCAATCTCTTCATTTTCTCCTACCAATCAACGACTTTACAACCAAATTCACAATAGAAATGCTCATAACCACCTTCAAAGGCAACGACAAATCGACTTTCTTTTACACCAACCGAGAATCAACAACAACAACAATAACCGAGAAGAGGGACAGAGGGATGAATTAAAATTTGAAGATGTAATCAAGAGTCTATGGATACCAATTAGAATTGTATCTTTGACTTCTGTCATATGACTTAATGAACCGGTGCTTGAGTCTTCATGTAATTTAATCAAGGCCGAAAAGCACGATGAATGAACAAAGGAAGCGGGCTCTTCTTTTTCTCCGAATTAAGATTTCTCCAAAGGAATTTTCTTTGGTTTTAATGTCACGTGTCAATGAACATTTTACACATTCTCAATTAATTTGTACATATTTTTTCATATTATATTTCTACTACACCCAAATGTAATTTTGATACTTTGAAGAGACTTTAGGTTTTATAAGATTGTAAAGAATCCCTAATAAAGTTTGTGAATTAATTTTTTTAAAAATTTTTTTTTATTTTTCTGGTCAATCGCATACATATCAGTATGATCAATCATTTACATAAACGAATGATTCCGGGCAAATATGATTAAAAATTTCTCGATTAGGATTCTTAATAAAAATTTTTCTCAATTTGGATTTTCAGCGAACAATTCACTAACCTCTATTATCACGCACTTCCGAAACATGTTCTTACTTAATAAAGGATGAAAATCCATCATTGGGTTGGTCAAGATAAACGGGTGATATTGTAAAAAGGAAGCTTGCATCGCAAGGAGAACGAAACAACACTGAAAAAAAAAACGCATCCTAATGGCACCGGCAACGTTTAAAATCACCACACCTCTTCCAAACTCCATCACCCGTCGTTTCACAACTCCCAATTCAACACCCTCATGGTCCGAATTAGAAACAAAAATCAGATCCCTTTTTCAAATAGAACCCCATGCCTCTATCGGCCTCGCTTATACCGACGAAGAGGGTGACGTTATCACCTTCTCTTCCGATGCCGAACTTCAGGAAATCTACGAGGCCATACGACTGCAAGCTGAGCGAGACGAAGAAAGCCGAGGTCAGTTGAGAAAGTTGCAAGAAACTTTTGACGTTAAGAATGAGACGTTCAGTAATCAATCAGGCGACGGCAACACGGAGTCGAAGAATGACAACAATGAAAATTTCGCGAGTACTCAGACGGTGATTAATAGCGGGAACGAAATAATTATGAAATTTGGACTATTGGTTATGCGCCAAACCAATGCTGAAAGAGATGAAAGCGTTGAAGATGAGGAAACCCAAAGATGCATTCAGCAGTAATTTCTTTCGCTCAGAGATTGTAACAATGTGATCGATCAATATACAACATATTTAATATTATTTAAAAGACATAATTACACTTTGATTTTATAAAAAAATTGTTAAAATTATGGCACAGTGTTAGTTAGTAAAATCGTACATTATTCTTTCCATTTATCAAGATGATAATAATAATAAAAATAGTAAAAATTTATAGTGAATTGGTTGAAAAATCATTTTTATTAATAACAAAAAATTTTTATCGAAAAAAATGATGATAAAAATATGTACATTATATGTATATAATTTTAATAATATATGTTGCAGAAATACATAATGCTTTTTAAAAAATCCTATGGTAAAAAAAAACAGATGTGAAATTCTATTTCCGTTAATTTACTGTATAAGAGCGACGTTAACACCGGTTCCCAATATATATACTATATATATATATATATTCAAGAACATTCATGAAGATTGGGCTTCATGGATTTCTTTTACGAAAATTTTTTTCAACTAATAATTTGCACAAATCCATAATTGGAGTGAAGAGTTCAACAATCGAGTACCGTACATCAGACTTATGAAAATACATTCAGAGCTATTTGTAATAAAAAAGTGTATGGAGCGGAATTAAAATATTATGCGGATCCATTCGACCTTGACAGAGCTTCAATGTCGACTTTTAGGCCATCACGCGCCGGTCGAATCTGTAAAATTGAACGAACGAAATATAAATCAACCGATCTCTCATAAGGATCGATATCGAAATATACATACCCATAATTCTGGCTCTTTCTCTTGCATTTCTTCAAACTCTTTGACTAACTCATAATGTTCTATCTTGTGAGAAAATCCCACAAGATAAGTCCGCTTTGGTATTGGAACTAAATTTCTTGCTGTGGTGACTGCTTGGTCTATTGAAAAGTGCGATGAATGTTGTTTTCCTAAATGAATTTTTTTGAAAGAAAAAATATTAGCATATATTTTGATCATCCACTTGTATAAAAATAGACACCCAAAGCTAATTCAACCTACGGCACAAAGAATCCAAGACAACAATATCGCTTCCGTGAATTTTAGCTAGCGTTTCCTCGGGAATGTAATTGCAATCCGAAATATAAGTAATGTTGTCAAATCGAAAGCCCACGTAAATGTAAGGTTCCTTTGTTGTGAAATATATACCGTGGTGAACTGGAGACGTGTTTAATGTTAATATAATAATAATAAATGAAATAAATAAAGATTTAATGCATACAATTACCTGGTAAAGGAGTGAACTCGAGCCCCTCAACCGTAAAAGGCGTATCCAAATCAATCGGATGCCATCGAAACTGTGGTAAATCTCCTCCTCCTAAGCCAAGGATTACAAATGAATTTCGGCAATTAAAAAAAAATGATTTTTCATTGTAAGATTTTCCGCACCAGTCGCCTGCTTTGAATCCACCAAGTAAGGAAACAATGTTTTAACGGCATTCATAGTGTCATTTGTCAGATAAATGGGAATATGGTTTTGGATGGCTTCATTCAATGTCCAAGCTCTTAGATCATCCAGTCCGTTTATTGCATCAGCATGGGGATGGGTTAGTATCATTGCGTCAATTTTCCGTAGCTTGTGAATAGGCCACCACTTCAATGCCGAAGCTGTTATAAATAGATGACATAAAAAAAAACATTATTATTATTATTATTATTATTATTATTATTTGATTCGAAATTTTTAGATCGATTTACCGTAAAAGGTCTTCCCACAGTCGATTACAATATTTCTGATAAATCATGATGTAATTTATCAAGATTTGAAAAAGTTAAAATATATATATATATATTTATTTATAATTTTTTTTTTTTTTTTTTTAAGGAAAGGAGAACAAGAAATTGGGGATAAAAAAAAATTAAAACGTGTAAATAATGTAGAAAGGTAATATCTGAATGTGATAAAATTATTTATATTGATCAATTTCGAGTACTACTTAAACGCAATGCGAAATAACCTTGTATACTTTTACCTGATTTCACCATCCTCATGATTGATTCGAATTAGTAAACTTGTGTTCCTTCTTATATTAACCTCTCCTTCAGGCTTAAGTGTGGATAGACAGGTTTTGCAAGTTGGTTCCGTTGCGGTAAGGCAAGAGATCGTTGGAACGCCCGAGGAGGTTCCTATTTTCCGAGCAGAATGAAAAGGTCAAAATCATAGTTCGTTTGCTAATGCGAATTCCACTCGTTACCTGTTCCCAAAAATATGATCTCTTTAACTTGACGGGAGAACATTGGTTAATACACAAGTAAAGAAAAAAGAGAGAATTTTTTTTTTATTTGTGTTATCATGATTTATATTTATAGTAACTTGTATTACCTGCATTAAAGTTAGCTACTCTTTTCCTAACTAGAATGGCGTCAACCTAATGAAACCAACAGTTGTAAAATCACCTTTTTATGTTAAGAGGTAAAAAATAAACTATAATCAAAGATTAATGGTAAAAAATACCAAGATACGATAATTTGTACGTATGTAATGCCATTCGAAAGATGGTAGTGACCTAGTCAAACTTACGAATATTAAATACATTATTTCTATATACTGTATGTATATCTTGTATATAGGTTGTTATTTTATCAAGATACAATAATACATCATAGCATGATATACAGTATTTGAATTGTCTCAGTTACAATTTTTCTTACTCATAGCCTATAAATAAGTTATAGGCACCCGTGCAATCTTTTCGTGAACTTAAATCTGCTTTATTTGTCAGTCAAATCACGCGTGATATGTAACTTTCCGTTCTTTGTAAAGTATTCAAGATATTATTTAATGATCAAAGTTTAAAAAAAGCAATCGTGACATTTTATCGTAAATAAGACGTGTGCGATTCTATTTTTAACATGAAAGTAGTAGCTTGCTGAAAGTCCATTAAGAATTCCAATGTCTCCTCATGCGATTCGATTCGATTCGATTGATTATGGATGATAATTGTGTAGTAGGTTTTACGCGAGAACATTGCACTCTAGACCCTATATCTGGTATGATAACGATAGCACTAAAAGCGGTCTTACTATATCCAATACGAAACTGCCTGGATTATCAAGGTTAATCATGGATCGTCGCGAATAACAACTTTCCAAGTATGACCACTTCGAAATAAAAAATTTTTTTCTTCGGTAACCGACAACTTCTTCCATGAGAAATGACGTTAGCCATAATTCTCGAATATATTCGACCTCATGGGACCATCTTCATAATTTCGGCATTTGTAACGCTTTTTGTAATCATAGCTTTCAAACTTAGCGAAGATAAAGTAGTTGAATTTTCGGTGTCTGTGCCTGCTGGTGAGCGAAAATTGAAAACTTGTTTACACATAACCTTCTCCCGACCATCATATGCTAAATTACTTCGTTCATTAATAAAAGAGGCCAAACCGGGATGGAATGGCGGCAAGATTTTAGATAAACCGAATTTGAAGGTAAGGTTTTTGATCTCATATTTTCCGACACATCTTCCTCCATGGTGATAGTCATACGCTGTTCCTATTCAACTATGCGCACATCTTAGGATCCGAAAAATCTTGGATACATACAATGCTATGATCCTGCGACAGGTCAACTTTTGGATATCATAAAAGCCCACACGGAGAAAGACGTTTCCGAAGCTCTAAGAAAAGCCCGCAACGCTCAGAAAAAGTGGGCACAAACTTCATTCGCCGAAAGAAGAACAGTTTTAAAGAGTCTATTGAATTTCATTGTGAAGAATCAAGAGGAAATTTGTTGGGTTTCGTGCAGGGATACGGGAAAAACTTGTAAGTCTGATTACATTCCATGTTGTTGAAGACTTTGTAAATGCAACATTCTTTCTTTTCCTACCTTTCCTCGATTGTAATAAATCTTTTCTGTTTCTGTCTTCAGTTGTTGATGCAAAGTTTGGAGAAATCATGGTTACGTGCGAAAAGATTCGATGGACAATTAAGAATGGTGAGAAAGCGATTTCACCACAATATCGGGAGTCACCCATGATCATGCCCTATAAGGTACCGAAAATTGTATTCGAACCACTGGGCGTTGTGGCAGCTTTGATCTCTTGGAATTATCCGTAAGTTTGCTTTTCGTCACCGACCTTCTGTCAATGTAGCATCCAATTAGCATTCCCTAATTCCATAAAAAATCAAGGTTTCACAACTCGTTTGGGCCGATAATATCTGCGTTGTTTGCAGGAAATGGAATATTGGTAAAGTGTTCGGAACAAGTCGCATGGTCAATGAATTATTTCAGTCAAATCATAAAAAATTGCTTAGCACAATGTGGACATGATCCTGATGTTGTGCAATTCCTTTGTGGCTTTCCTGATTGTGGTGAGGCTCTTGTGAGAAGCGGAGTTGACGGAATAACCTTCATCGGGTATTGTTGCAGTTTACTCAACTGGTGATATATCTATTTACTTGCCGATTTAATTAAACTAATTTTCTCAATGTGAATTACTACCGTGGTGTGCAACAAGTTCGCCGCAAGTGGGGCGAAAAGTAATGCAGTCAGCATCAGCGACATTAACTCCCTGCATCTTAGAATTGGGTGGCAAGGATTGTGCAATCATTCGACATGATGCAAACCTAGATCGAACGATTCCAATAGTCTTGCGAGGTGTATTTCAAAACTCGGGACAAAATTGTATTGGTCTGGAAAGGATCATTGTACACGAAAAATTGCACGACGAATTTGTGAAAAGGGTTTATGATAAGGTCAAGCTGATGAGGGTGGGATGTTCGTTGAATGACGAAGATAGAGTTGATGTCGGGGCGATCACCATGAGCGATCAGGTATCAATCATGCTCGTGTTTATTCAATTACTTGCATTTATGATTTCTTATGATTTCCTCGACAGTCTGAAAGGATCACAGCCCTCATAAAATCTGCAGTGTCCGCAGGTGCTACTCTCGTGCATGGTGGTCACCCTTACTTTCATCCAAACTATAAAACAGCCCAGTATTACACTCCGACCCTCTTGACCAACGTGACCTCCAAAATGGAAATTTCACAAACAGAAGTGTTTGCTCCGGTGATGGTAATAATGAAATTTAAAACTGACGAAGAAGCCATCGAGATAGCAAACAGTGCACCTTACGGCTTGGGAAACTCGATATTCACCTCAAATCAGGATGAAGGAGATTTGATGGCGAGAAAGTTGAAATGTGGAATGGTCGGTGTGAATGACTTTGGCGTTACCTACATGTGCAATTTACCATTTGGCGGAGTTGGTGGTTCCGGTTTTGGAAGGTAGTGTAAATGTTATTAAAATAATGTGTCTCAAAATATATTGCTTCACAACAACTGATCTTCTTCACATGCAGATTTGGAGGTGTGGAAGGAATGAGATCACAATGCTTAATGAAGTCGGTGGCATTGGATCGATATCCCTCATTAATTCAAACCACCATACCACAGGCCCTGAATTACCCGATTTCCACCAATGGATCAATGTTTGTGAACAGCTTGATTAGAGCGATTTACGGAAATAGTTTGGTGGACAAAATAAAGGCTAGCATCACGATGATTCAGGGAGGCAAAAGGAAATTTTGATTTTGAAAGGGTGTAAATTGAATCCCGCGATTCAATTTATTATTTGATTCTCTACAACATTACTCACAGCACAAATAACAATGATCACGGTTGTGCGCAGTGGGTCGCTCGCTTCATTTTTAATATGAAACCGCAATGAGATTGCTAAGCAAATAATTATATCTTATCTATTTAACGTAATCCGAAATTTCTTTGTTTTGAATAATCTTGAGTATATTGTGGATCAGCCCCGAATGGTGAATAAACATATCGTTACAATATGTGCGATCAATAAAGTTGTTAGTTCTGGCGTGTTAAAGATGGCTGTGCTTGTGAGAACATTCATTGGAGGTATCGGAGATGGCATTTGGGGAATTTTTATGGTACTTTTTCGGAATTTTGTTGAATATCTAGACGTTTTGAAAATGAAAATTTTTCAAAAAAATATTTCTGTCAAAATGCGAGATCATATTAATGGACACGTACCCCACTGTCTCAAGAAACTTCCTTAACTCGGGTCCTATCGCATTCTTCAGCAATCCGTAATAATAATTGTCACCACACGTTACATTATTGTCAGCATACGTTACATTATTGTCACCACACATCGTTTTATTTTTCCCGCATATTATTTTACTTCCCAAGTCTTCACCTAATGTTATAAGATATCTCATCAAGAAATCGGCTGTATCTGTATAATCTCGGTAATCCACATGGCGTATACTATATTCATTATTGAACGGTGACACCTCCGTTTCAAGTATAATAGAATCATTAACACCCTTTGAATCCCAAGTCATGAATCCTACGGATCCTGGTTTGGTGAACAATTTCATCATATTTTCTGCTATGGCATATTGATCGGATTTCTTGAATTCATCAATGAAGCCATTGTAACTGGCGTGCACCAATCCGTGCTCGACAAAATATTGATTCAGCTTCGTAGTGAAATTGGTGAGATAGGTGAAATCCTCAGTCTGTACCAAATAGCGATCAAAAACAAATTCCCGGAATCCGCTCCACGTAACATTTATGCTCGGATTGTAATTTTCCGAATTCGTCCATTCAACATCTTCTTTAGCGATTGGAGCAGGTAATACGAAATTTTTCTCACCGGCGTATGAATATGTGCCCCATGACGTGTCGAAACCGAGGCCGTGAAAAACCTCATGCAAGACTACTTCGAGAAAATCGATTTGATCATCATTTATGCGCGTATGATCGGTTCGAAACCAGTATTTGGGATTTGCGTTAAATTGTGCATAAATGTCGGCATCATCATATCGAGGATGGGTGGTGTAGTTGAATTGTTTTACTAAAGATTGTGGGTAAAACCTTTCCACATTGTCGTCATCATTGAGTAATATTAGTAATGATGAATATCCGACACCTACACAAAAAATAATAAATTCAGAGGGACAGTATAATCACGGCAGATTAGAGAGGACAGAAAAAAAAAAAAAGAATTCGCATCTCCACTAACCAGGATTAACCTTATCTTCCGGATCGCAGGGAGACTCGTCTGCACAAAAGTTAAATATCGTGACATTCACCACGATAGGCGCATTCAGATCCAAGATGGTGGAGAAAATATTTCCGGCATCTTCGAACGCGCTGAACATTTTCATACATAAGGCCGCATCCGAGTGGCACGCGACCTTAAATATAAAATAGTTCTTATTGCTCGAACTATTGGTTGATCTTTTGTAGTGTGGTGATGAAGAAAAAAAGTGCAAGGGCTTTTTTTTGTCTTTTGACACATGGTGGATTTTACTATGACTATAATGATATGATAAAGATGTTGATAATATCCCAGATTTCTCGGACTCTTGTGAGCAATTTACTTCCACCACAAAATTACGCTCCCGAGGATTCGGATAACGAAAACATCGCGCCGAATTTACTTGTTGTGTAGCGAATACTATGAGAAACACTATCACCGCTCCAAACCAGGTTTTCATATTTTTGATTTCTGATTATATTTTGTATTAGTACAGCTTATAATTAAATTGTTTATTATACAGTGCATAAATATATCGATTCGTCAAATTAAACGCTTTCTACTATTAAATCATTATAATCGTCGTGGGAAGAATATGCTAAATCATAAGTATCTGATGGTGAATCCTGGTCAGTTCTTCAGTGTTTAATAATATTTTTTTTATCTAATTCATGACCTCTTGCCTCGTCGATGATAGGAATGTGATCTCAAATAAAAGGGCTTTTATATCTGAACTAATTCAACAAACATGCACAAATATGAGATGTGCGACTACACATATGCGTGTACGCGTACAAAGTTGACAAAAACACAAATATTTTACTCGCACAGTATGCCATTTAAAATTTTCGTTATGGAAATTTAATATATGCACAAGTCTGCATCAAAATTGACGCTCGTTATAATTCATCGAAAAACACGTACTTTATATGTGCACTTTGATTATTTTGAACTATTAAATTATTAAATGTTTTTTTCTTAATATATTTACATATATTAAGAATATGCAAACAGATAAATCACAAGATTGGATTTTTTATCTCGCACCATATCTTTGTTGGCTTAAAGTTATTATAACCGATATTTTATATAATAAAAAACAATTATTATTACTAAAATTTTTTGTTTATTATAAAAAATTTTTTAACAGATTTTCTTATCAACATCTTTATTGCAGTGACAAAAAACTTTATATAAAAGATTTATATAAAATTCAAGAATTATTAAAGTTTCTCTTCTTTAATTTAAAATTTTATAAATCATAAATTTTTAGTATTATTTTTAGTTTTGTTTTACGTATGAATTTTTCAATATAACAAATGTCAATTAAAATTTCATATGCAGTATAAACAAAATAACCATATTACAATAAATTAAAGTAGATTAATGATATAATTACATTATTTTATTTTATTTTTATTTTTTATTAAGGGATGTTAAATAATTACATTCTTTTGAATTACTGTAAGAATCGCAATAAACATTGTGACATGTAGTACTTCAAGTGAGGTCAAAATTTCTGTGAATTGTATAGAAGTTGTGTCTATATTGTAAGTGTATAAAATGTTTGTTTTTATATTGTTTGTGAAGTCGGAAATTTAATAAAGATCCGTCTATTTTTCACCAATATATCCATCCTAGAATATAAAAAGGTTGTAATTTGTATCAATCAATAATATGCTTCATAATAAGAATCCATCATTTTTTATGAGAACGTACCTTTTCGAGCAATAACAGAATTTGATGGCAAATCTCGCTAACACTTTGCTTACTGATATCTACAACGATATCTGCATCCGTAGGTGCCTCATAAGGATCATCAACTCCCGTGAATCCTTTTATTTCACCAGATTGTGCTCTCTGTAAAGGAATCAAGAATGAGATATCAATAATTTTTTCATCATAACGAAAGATCCTTCCTAAAATCGAGAAACAAGAGAAAATCATACCTGATATATTCCCTTTCGGTCAGTAGCGATACAATAATCTAACGGAGTATTCACGTGAACCAAATAAAATCCACCATACGTTTCGATATGCGCTCTTGCATGTGCACGTGCTTCAGCAAATGGTGCGATCGGCGCTGCAATAACAGCTGCACCTGCCTTTGTAAGTTCGGCAGACACAAATGCTATGCGGGCTATATTTGAATCCCGGTCTCTCCTTGAAAATCCTAATTCTAAAAGTAGATTAATAAAGCTCATCTAATAATTACGTTGCATAATTCAACTTGCAATTTGCTTACCGAATGAAAGCTCATGGCGTACAATCTCACCCAACAAAAGACTTACAGGCCTTCCACCCTGTTCATTAAGCACAACTTGTAACGCTCTTCCCACCATGTCCTTTCCAGAATTATAATATCCCGTTAAGAATAACGTGAATCCCTGCTTTGATCGCGGTGGATGAGTGTTTCTAAGTACTTGAACCACTTCCGGATATGAAAACCACTCGGGAATGTGTGCACCACTTCTAAGACGACGTCGTAATTCCGTGCCAGAAATGTTAAGAGTTTGTGTACCTTTCGGTACCTCGTCGACCGGCATATATTCATCTGAATCGGGAATATATGTCATCATCTGGAAGGGAACGACCTCGATTTTTAATTCGTCATGGTACTTTACTACTAATTCCTATTAAACACGTGAATTTATAACATATTAATTATTAGTTCATAACTTCTTTAACATGTTCAAATAACATTACCTGAGCTTCATATGGTCCGTAGAAATCAACCCCTTGTGAATTCTTTCCAGGACCCGCATGATCTCGTCCAATGATAAAATGTGTAGCTCCAAAATTCTTTCTAATAATTGCATGCCAGAGAGCTTCTCGTGGTCCACCCATCCTCATTGCCAACGGTAATAAACTTAAAGTAGCCATCCCGTTGGGGTACTTACGCATTATCGTTTGATAAACCCTGACTCTTGTGTAATGATCTATGTCTCCAGGTTTAGTGAGACCCACTACAGGATGAATAAGGACATTGGCCTGACGAATTCGTGCTGCACGAACTGTCAATTCTCGATGTGCACGATGCATTGGGTTTCGAGTTTGAAATGCTACGACGCGATTCCAATTAAGTTTTTTGAAATGCGCGCGAAGTTCAGCCGGAGTAACTATTTTGATTACGCAATTGGCAGAATTATGGAAAATTCGTTAATTCTTTTTTTTCCTTATCTTTATTTAAAAACAATGGTAAATATTAATACTTACGTCTATGAGCAATGTAATCATAATGTGCGGGTGCCTGAATGGCCTCTACATTTCCTCCAACATAATATTCTTTGGTTTGAGTGTGCAGATACTTAATGCTAGGGTGGGACATATCATTGCTACCAAAAACCTTCAAGGCTTCTTCGACTTTATTTGGACGATATACATCATCGATTGTCAAAATGGCCAATGGCGCGTCGTCACGAAGATCTCTTAACACTACGCGTTTTTTAGGCTCCAGTCCTAATGACTTTATGTCATGCTCGGAGACATCGAGAGTCACAGGTATAGAAAAAAGGTTACCATCCCTTAAGCGAAGTTCATTCACAACGCTGTCATGAGGAATAAATTTGCATGTCAGACTAAACATAAATAAGTTAACTCTTTAGCAATCTATTAACTTACCGATTGTAGTCTCCTTGATTCATGAATCCCTCCAATGGTGAGAACCCGCCATTCATAATAAGTTCTAGATCGCATAATTGACGGTCTGTTAATATTATTGACGGCAATGTTTTGGATTCTTTCAATAATTCGTCAAACTTATGGGCATCACGAGCATGTGCATCTTTAAGAACACCACCGTGAGGAGCATTGGCCATTTTTAAACAATGTAATTGATTATTTTTTTTTTCAGACATGATTTCTTCAGATCGGTACTTATAAAAAAAAAAAAAAGGTTGACTAAAGAACACGGAAAAGCACGCAATCATAACGACATCTTTGACCAATAGGAAAATTTTTTGAGATAGAAGATCTTCGATAATCAAGAAAACGTTTGTAATACAACGACTTATTACCAATGACGCTAATCCATTCTGAATGGTGAAATTTCCATACTCATTTTAAATGTATATGGTTTCGTTTTCATCATTTCGGGCATAATGACGTGACTTTCAGAAGCTTATTTTATATTACTTTTTGTCCTTTTTAGGCTATGCATTGATGGAATCTATCTAGATTACTAATTATACGAGTTACCATTTTTTTTTTTTAAGTGCATTGGAATTATATGACTTTACCTTACACATGTAATGCAAAAGAATCTCGAACAATGATAACGATTTAACAAATAACCATAAAAGGAAGGCCTAAAGCGGAGTTAAATCATGTCATTTTTCTGATGGTCATGATTAGCCCGTGAAATTAAGTGTTAAAATATCTGTAATATATTATTATAGTTACAGTATACACAAAGATTTATTCCAATTTTTTAATTGATTCTATATAGATATTTTTGGATTTTTAACTTTTTTATATCGTTTTATTTATAACTTCTTTTTGTCAAAGTAAGACTTATCTTATAATCTTTATTTTAATTAAGATGTATATTGTTATTTTTTTTTATTACAAATAAGCATTAAATATAAAACCGTTATTAAACTAATTGTTATTATTATTATATTAACACTTTTTATATAAATTATCAATTAACTATAGTCTATTGCAACTTTATAACTAACATAAATTGTTACCTAGTATATATTTATATGATAGAAATATTGAATAGCTAATGTTTATTCAAAATAATAATACAATATAATTGCTAAATTAAAAAAATCCTTTTGTTAATAAGATTGTTGTAATTCTTTAAAATGTTTAAAATGTTTTCAAAAGTGTTTGTTTCTAAGCAATTAAAAATTATATGGCCTGATATTTTTTACTTTTTTTATTAAATACTTGTTAATAATAATATTCTAATAATTATAAAATATTGTTTTCAAATTTTATAAAAAATTTTAAAAGAATAATTAACAAGAATTATTTTTTTTTATAAAATATCAAATAATAAATTAAATTTTTCTAAAACTAAATTAATAACTATTTTGCTTATTGGATTTGTAATAATAATTTGTTATTTATTATTATTATTTATTTTATTTTTTGATATATTTTTTATTATTAAATAATTTATTTATTTATTTATTGTAGAATAAACATTATTTCTTTATTTAATTTGTATAATACTAGATATATATTGCAAAAAAAATAATTTCTCTCATATGTAACAATTCAATAAGTTAAATATTAACTTGCTTATAGTAACTGCTTAACTAATATTGAAAAGAAATTTTAAAACAATATATCTTGTCAAATAATTCTAAACAACTATAATTATTTATATAATATTAGATAAAAAGAAATTAAAATAATTAGATATTAGTTTGATAATATATTTGAAAAAATTATATTCATTTCAAATATAAAATCTGTTACTATAATTGATAGATTAATAATAGTTGAGATTTATATAATAATAAAGGAGTAATTGTATAATAATTCTAGTTTAATAGTATTCTAAGTAGTTGTTTTTATTAAAATGTTAAAAGAATTATTGTTTTATTTGATACTAGTAAGAGAAGAGATATTTGTTATAATATAACAAAATATTTAAATTAATTTGTATAGGTTGGTTAAAATTTCTATTAATACTTTAATCCAGTTAAAAAAATTAATTATAAAAAAGATATTGTCAATAATGTCATATACTAATTCTATATATTGTTAGATATATAAAATTGGTTTATAATTATTTTAAAATAAAAAATATTGTTAATAATATTAATAGGTTAATTAATTTTTTCTAATATTATAAATATTTAAAAACATATTGAATATTTTTAATATAAAAATTATATTTAAAACAATATAAATCTTAATATTAATTTAAAAATAATTTAAAAAAAATTTTTTTATGAAAAGTATTTTTAATAATAACTTGATTCTAAAGACAATAAGATTATTTCCATAATACTAATAAAGCCTTATAATTTAATTTATTATACTTATTAAGTTAATATATTATTTGTCTTACAAATTTAATTGTGACTTATATATATTTTTAAAAAGTGAAAGCTAAATAGCTTAGTATTATTTTTATAAACTCTATAATCTTTTGTATTCTTAAGAGGATATTAATATATTAAGACTCTACATCAAGAAATTTTTTAGCAAAGATCTCTGAAGATCTTCAGGTATAGACCTCCAGAGAATCTCTATCGTCGTTAAAAGATTCCAGAGCAAAGATTACTATATTAAACTTCAGAGATCTTCAATTTATTTTAATAATAATAAAATATATTTATATTCA